AGTGTTTAACGAATACGGGAAATTCGATTCAAGAAAAGAACGGAAGCGAATAAAGATTATGCAGAGAAATCCGGAGAAAGATATGCTCGCGCTAACTGCTTCAAGAAACTTGTACGATCAACTACTGTCCAAACACAAATTCGTTTCATCGCAAAAAATTTGATGGTACGTGCTTCACACTACAACTGACTGTCAACAATCTCAACACTAAAGTCATGCTGATGTCAGCCAGCTAATGAAATTTAAACATCATACTTTTATGATCCGCAAGTACAACTAAAATTGTGAATAGATGATCATTTCATACAATGGTAGTCATCTTATGTTGGGAATGGGATCGTAGATGCTGTCATCCATGTTTACTATGAGTCTTCCTAGACGTTACAAAACCTAAGTCTACTCTGAGCAAATTTTATTAATTTTAGTCTTTCTCTGAGAGTTATATATCATGCTCATCAGACTGACTCATAAACGAATCTCGGTTTATTGTAGTCGTGAACCATGTACATCAAGTAGCATGACTGTGTAACAATCAATTTATTTTTGAGAGCTCCGCCAATAATCATTACAGAACATGGTGTGACGAATTTGTTTCGAAATGTCTTATCCCTCTGGAAACTAAATTAACAGTTGTAAGAGCAAGCCATAACAGAATATGTCGCTGCCCGTAGAACCGACGAAGAGCCTTCTTATAAGAAAGAAAATCAACAGATCATGCAGTTATCCAATTGCTTGTGGCGACCCTACATCCGATGCACTTTTCCAAAACTCAAAAGCAGGTAATGGACACATATGGTTCACATATGGGCTTAACCGTGGCAAAGCACAACATCGTAAAGCACAATATCATCTGGCGGCAGTCTAGCAACATGATTGAAAGAGTGAGAAACTGAGGAAAAACGAAGATAAGATTTCGCATTTTATTTTATAACTCCATCTTTTTGCTTGCGAGCGCATATTAATAAACTACAGGACATATATAAGTCCCAAAGGCTGACAGAAGTTTCGTATGGTACTCACTACGACATATTCATCAATATGCAAATGTTGAACCGACAATCGAATTTGTAGCCAAAATCTTGTAAATTCAGCAGGTTAACAAAAATTTAACGTTTTGCTCAAGGAGAACATAACATGGATGCGTAAATTGGTGCGTTACATGTTACAGTTGACTGAGATACACGTAGTTCAATTTTACCGATTCAAACTTGAGTCGCAGGCCTGCACGTTGATAACGACTGTCGATCGGTACGGAAAAGGCCTGAGACGAACCGTCCCATTATGCCTGGTAGA